GATATAAATACATAACATTCCTTCGATTATTAAAAATAAAAAAGCTGAAATATTGTTCTGATTCTTACTAATATTTAACACGTTTGCAGCCTGTTTTTAATGAAGTTGATCACGTGTGTGTACGACCTCGTTTATATTTTGGTATGAATTGTCATACAATTAATTATTATTTGGCCATAAAAAACGAAGGGAAATCCTGCCATCCGTAGAGCCGCGCATGCTGCTTGAGGCATCGCAGTCACTGAAACAGGTTAGGGAGAGACAAAGCCCGTATGCTCCCAGGCACGTGGGAGCCTAAAACACAAACAAACAAAACCCCATGGAAACAGACAAGAGACCGGCAGTTTCCAGGGCTGAGTGGAGAGGGGGGAAGTGGGTGAGGGGTGAAAAAGGGCACAAACTCATTCTAAGGGACGAGAAAAAAATGCCGAGATGTCCTAAGCTAAATTACGGTGGGCCGGATGTGAAACTGACAAGGGACGGCCCAGGTGGCAGCTGCGGCCAGCTAACGGCAGACGTGACATCCCGAGGGCGGGCGGGGGCTCCGGACCAAGCTCCAGGCAGCCGCCCGAGAAGCAGCAGGCGGCAGACGCCACCCCGTCCTGGTGTCACAGGAACTTTCAGGACCGCTGCCCCCAGCCCATCAAAAACACTACGTGTCTCCCTGACGGACTGTGAATTGTCTTCCTTAATTTGTGATCAAGTTGATAGTCAAACAGTTTGATTTTGTTGTTCAAAGCAGCAGCCCTTAGATGTCTATTTTTTAAATTCAAACTTATTGGGGTGACTGACGGTGGTTAATAAAATCGTATAGGTTTCAAGTGTACATTTCTAACCCACAAAATTTTGCTTTTATCTTTATTTCTGGTTACGTGCGTGTGTGTGCACGTTGTTTAAAATTCACATATTCGGTTACCTATTTAACTACGTAATCTGCCTTTTTAGACAATGTGTACGTTTTTAAAATTCGTTTTACTCTGAACCCAGGTCAGTGCTATCCTCCAGATCATGACATGTGTCATCTTTCGTTACTTATTGCATCCTGCTAAGTGATTCTCAGTTCACTCTTTCATCCAATGATTTTTGAGAGAGATTGAAAGAATTTTCAAGTGGTCGTGACTGATTTTCTTGCAGTGACGTCAGAGAACGTTGTCCGTACTACCAATCTCGCAATTTAATTGAGTTTCATCGTGATCTAATACAGGCAATTATTTTTCGTTGGTGTCCATTCGGCCCTGGACAATGTGACATGCGATACACTCTCATGGCAAAGTTTGTGGCACGTGTTCGCTTACTATTCTGCACCGGTGCTGGGTCATCTTCCCAACATCGTTTTTCCCCTCTGCACCCCGGCCCCCCACTCCGAGGCTGTACTTTGGGGTCCGTCGGGGGCACAGGCCACGCCCCCGAGACGTGCGTGGGCAGCGATCAGGGGCTGAGGTCTCCCTGCAGGTCTCTCACACGCAGATGGGTTTGGGGGCACGTGGGACAAAGGGGCTCGCACCACGGGTGGGAGGGCGTCCTGGCAAAGGCCTGCGGCCTGGCGGGGCCGAGCGGGGGCAGAGCGCCACG